CGAAAGGTCATGGCGTTGAAATATGAAACGTCGCGTTAGCAAAACGTGTCTCATGGTGGTGATTTGCGTTGGTGTCAACGAGATGATGATGACGATGCAAATGGAAGGTGGAGCGTCACCGGAGTTCGCCGGAAAAGAAGACGAAGAGTCGCCAGAAAATGGATGAACAACGCGCTCCTGTAATGCGACCCTTTGCGTTCTTTTTATACACAAAGTGAAAAATATCACTTTGGTCCCTACACGATTGGAAAGTGACAAAATCAACCCCAAGTTTAATGACAATTTAACCCCTGAATAGCATAAATGAGACAAAACCAACTCTAATCCATAAACCACAACCTAATATCAATTCATACAATTTCCAAAATCATTCCAAACATGTTAAATTCATAAGAAAAATATTAGAAAGCGATTTTCGTAAATAAATTCATAAATTCTTTAATTATCTCAATATGATTTCATTTTAATCACACATATGGTCTTTTTATCACCAAAATAGAGTCACTTTCATGACTCTAACACTAACATCTATTGTCTATCACTTGAATAGGGTTGGACATAAATTATACGCCTAAGTGCAACCCGTTTTGCCACAACTTTCATTGCATTGAGTAGCCTACATCAGCACAAACATGACTTGCAATCTATGATGATAGATATAACTTTTGTGGAGTCTCGATATGCAAAAACTAATAAAGGCAAAGCCTTTATTTCCATAGTTCTAGATAACCGATTATGGGATGACATTGGTATAATTTCCAAAGTTGTGAGTCCATTGATGCGTATGCTCCGGATTGTAGACTCAGATGAGAGGCCTTCAATATGATATGTGTATGAAGGCATGTACAGAACGAGGATGGGGATCAAAAAGCTGTTTAAGAATAAGAAAAATTTGCACAAGCCTTATACAACAATTATTAAGATGCTCTGGGATAGGATGTTGCACCGTGATATTCATGCAGCAGCATATTATTTGAATTCTACTTTTAAATATGATGAAGATACTTTTTCCAAAAAACTTGAGGTCATGTATGGTTTCCTTGACACTATTGACAATAAAGCAAGTGCATTCAAAATGAGCAAGACAACGTTACTGGAGGAGAGTAGATTATATCGAGACCGTCTAGAAAGCTTTTCTCGTGAGTTTGCTCTTCAAACTTGCAAAACTACACGGTCGGGTATGTAATAGTTATTAACTTTTTAAGTTATGAAATTGTGTTTATTTCTTATGTAATTTATACTTTTATTCTCAATTAGATGAATGCTGGAGGACATTTGGGTTTAGTGCTCCAAATTTGCAAAAGTTTGCAATCAAAATTCTAAGTCAAACTTTGGCCTCTTCCAGATGTGAGCAAAATTGGAGTGTTTTTGAACACATACATACTAAAAAGAGGAACATATTAGAGCATCCATAGTTGAATGATTTGGTTTTCACTCATTATAACTTGCATTGCAAAATAGGTATAAAGCCTTCTTCATTTTGTTTTAATTATTATCTCTTCTTTTATTTTCATTGATGTCTTTATTGGTCATGATTTGAACATTTAATTTTGCTATTTCGGGAGTTGTTACAAGAAAATTACTTATGATCCTGTTGATTTTGAGAGTATTGATAAAACTGAATGGTGGATAGTTGATGAGGAAGAGGAGGTTGGTGAGCTTAATTATGATGAATTGGAACAATCATTATATGGAGAAGGAGCTATTCCTATAGATGGCGGTGATCACTGTTCTTATTATGACTCAATAGATGCTTCAGAAGGTTGTTTCCAATTTTTTAAGCAATTTCAATTTGGTAGTGGCTAGTTTATATTCAATTAGCTTAAATGGGAATACTTAACTTATGGTTTTCTTTTTTGCTAGAATTTTTTGTAGATGATGTTGCCGATGTTAATAATGATGATGATCATCTATCAGATGGTGTGTGAACTGTGAATTTTAATTGAGGATGGAAGGATGGATTGAAGACCATTTGGTGAAGATCATTTTTTGTTAGAATGTTGAAGTGTTAAACAACTATTATGTGATTTCTTCCTTCATTTTGTTATTTTGATTTGCAATTTGTTGTATTATTGATGTAATGATGTTTGATGATGCTTTGCTAAAGACTTTTTATTCAGGAGTTTAAAATTTGGATCCAAATTATGGAATTTTGCATTCTATGAACAGTAACATTGTTAACGTCAGCATGATGATGTCACCGATCGAACCAGCTGGTTAAACCGGTCCACCTGGGACCCGACCAACTTGCTGGGTTTTGTCCCGAATCAATTTTTAAAACATTGATAATGAGTAATTGAATTTTACTTAATTTGACATCTATGACGATTTCTAATTCAGCCACTTTAGTGATTAACAAATTGCACATAATATAGTTATCAAATTAAGTGATAGTAACAATAATTTCTTAATTTGTATGGAATATAATCAAGAAATTGCAGTGACATACATATAACTTCATACAACAATCATCAGTAATAGGAAGAATAAACAAATTTCATAATAGGAATAGGAAGACCCACTCCTGGAACTAGAACAACCGTTCCTAGAACTGGAAAGTCATTCTTGGGACTGGAACATGCGTTCTAGCATACCTAAGTCGTTTTAGAGGAACAGTCTCGTTCCAGTGACCGTTCCTTCCTTTGCAATTTACGTGCACCAAGTGGAATGACCATTCCTTTAAGAGGAACACCCATTCCTTAATCCATACAACCATTCAGCGGAAATAAACCAAAACAGTAACTATTATCGTAATCATTCTTCATCAACAGAATTAGAAATCTTCAATTAGGAAGAAATTAACAATATAAACGGAAAATCACAAGTTCTAAATCATGCTCTGGTACTACATGTAAGAGAATTCCCATAATTATACAAATACAAACCCTAATTTTGCATAAACATTATCCCTAAGATCTTTGAACAATGTGATTTTCACAATTCATAATGTAGGAGAAAACATACCTTGATCCATGATGATTTACCTCCTGTAAATTCATTCTAGATGAGAATTCATTCAGAGAAATTAGGTTTCCCTCACTTGACCCCTTTAGACTTGATAGATTGTTTCTTGATGGAGAGGAAACTATTGATGTTAATTGGGCAGAGGACTCCGCTCCTTTTCTATTAATGTAATCACACGATCCATCAAAGCGTGCGTTAATTGGAAGACACCTCTCTGTTGACCAATAGGATTTTAGCACATAAATAATAATTACACTTTAATAATATTTTATATAAATAAAATATTAGATCTAACAAATAAGTCACATGGGCCAGTGAATAAAATATATTCTAGAAGTTAACCGTATTTTACTGGAATTTATTTAGAAATGGGGTCTTATTCAATAAAATATGACGTGTTAATAGCATCACTTATTTGTATAATCATAAATACATTTTGTAGCGGTTTTTTTTTAAATAATATTTTAAAAATAAAATAGTTAAATAAGTCTCATATGTGTTTCAAAATATAAAAAAAACTCCCTAGAAAAGATTTGACACAAAGGCAAATTACTAATACTTTCAAAGCAATTTCACAAATTCTTTTATACAATTTGATATGAGAATGGCTAAGAGATAATGACAACAGATTACTCAAATTTTGGAACGGCAATTATTGTAGTTTTGAGGACCATCGGATTGCCGCCAAGACAATTCAATGGTCTTGTATAACATTTACCCCATAACTCAACAATTTGCTATTATTAATTATAAATACAAATTTTGGCATGTTTTATTATAACACAATTCTTAGATTTGTTTAGTTTTAGGATAAATTACTTAATTAAAACTGAAATTAAGATATGGTTATATAACTAAGAATTTTGTTAAAATTTTTGAACGATAAAAACCTCATATCGATTTTAATGCTATATTTGCACGAGTTTGTGGCGTACAATTGCAGGATGCAAGAGTGATTTCAAAAGGGGATGAAGTCAAGAAACCACAAGAGTGACTTTACTCATAATAAAATCTACTTGAAGAGTTTATTCAAAGATGGTTTGCACAATTAATTCCCGACTTCTTTCGATTCAATCATGCATTTTTTTTGTAACAAAAACAAACAAATCACCTAAAACTAAAGATAAACTAAGTCAACAAATCTACAAATAATAATAAATTTTATCTCTATTCTTTGGGCTGTACAAGATCAAATCAATATGAAGGTTTATTCAAAGAACAAGATTAAACATCGTCTAAAGATATTTTGTTTTGATTTCTTCCTGAAGTAGTGTTAGGTGGTGAGGATAAACAAGTTAAAAAGACATTTTTGGTCGAATATATATCTTGACAAAGATGTTTGTTAACTAATGCATTTAATTTGAGTATCTAATAAGGGTCTTATAAGTACATTTTTCTTAATTTTAACTCATTGGATTATATTATAACACATCAATTTTGATGACTTAGTTTATATAAGAAATTTGCATATGTAACATTATTCTTATCATATATATGAAACACAATAGTCTTTTTTCTTTTAATTCAAAGTGTAGTATATTTAAACCGTCGATGTTATAACTTGAAGCTTGGGAAGAATTACATTATAGTGCTTGTGTGAAATCCAAAAGTAAATTTGTGCGGATCTGAACAATTTTTATTTAGTTGAACCTAAGATATGACTACTTATATGTTTTATTACTAGTGAAATTTTTTCTATTTTTAAAAAAGAATTAAAAGTTGAATTTATGAAATACAACTTGAGTAGGCAAAAGAAATCACAGATGAGGAAAATATAACAATGACATAGTGGGGAATTGAAAAGAGATAAAATGATGGGTAACCAACCATGATGTAACTCTAAAACGACAACGACCCCTTAAATCTGGGCGCCAAAGTCACCTTATGCACAATTTTTTACCAGCAAAACTACACAACTTGTATTCTAGTGGTACGATAGCAAATAAAGTCAAAATGCGGGGGTTTAACTGACAAATTCTTGTTGTAATTAACGAACGGACATCACAGTCCCTTTCTCTCTTTTGTTTTTGGGAGACATCGAACCCAACCCGTGTCTGTTCGTGTTATGTTCCTGCTGTGTTTGTGTTGAGTTTCAGCACACAGGGAGAGATAGAGAGAGAGAGGCAGAGGGGAGTCTTTTGACACCCTATTTCAAACGCACGAACCTACAAATGAGAAGAGTTTGAACTGGTAAAAGCAAGCAAGGGCTAGTGTTTTTCACTCTGCCTTTTTCGCAAACATTTAGTATGCGTCACTAGTTCTGGAGAGCTTCTTGTTTACTTTGAATGTGAGTTTCCAAGCCCTAATTTTTACTGACTTTTGCTTTTTATGTGTGTGTTGATATGGGATTATCGTTGATTATGAGATTTGATTGTGGGTAGAATTTGGTTGGATCCCATATTTTGTCTTTCGTTGAAGTGGGATTTTCTGGGTTGCACGGATGGTTTTGTTTTAGCTGTTTGTTCCTTAGGGTTTTTCTTTATAAAGTAGGATGAGTTTTAATTAAACTGTGTCGTTTAGCAATGGTGTAGCTACTACTGTTTTGCATGGTTAGGGTTTTTTTATCGTTCAAGGTTTTATTTCAACTGGGTTTTGCCAATTTCTGGGTACAAGGATTGAATGAGTCGATAATAATTCTCAGTTGCTAAATAGTCGAGCTCTATATTATTTATTTTCTCCAAAAGTTTCAAACTTCGGTTTATTTCAGTTCAATTTGTTATTTTTGAGATATGGGATTATATATGGGACTAAATTTTAATTTTTTTGATTGTTTTTTGTTAGAGGAGTGAACTTTTAGATATACCCGGATGGCATGGACGGAAAAAGATGTCAGTAATGGCAGAAAGAGAGACCCAATTCAAGAAAATGGTTTTTTGAAGGGGCCACAATCTTCTCCTGGTACCAATGGCTCTCCCGTGGCTATTGCTTCAGCACAACAGGGGTTTGAAGGGAAGGATAATCTCTCTTATGCAAATATTCTCCGATCAAGGAACAAGTTTGTTGATGCTCTTGCACTCTATGACCTTGTTTTGGAGAAAGATAGTGGCAATGTTGAGGCTCACATTGGGAAAGGAATATGCCTGCAGATGCAGAACATGGGAAGGCCTGCTTTTGACAGTTTTGCAGAAGCCATCAAGTTGGACCCGCAAAATGCATGTGCCCACACACATTGTGGTATACTGTACAAAGACGAGGGACGCCTGGTAGAGGCTGCCGAGGTATGCTCATGGCAGTTAAGTCGATTTTACAATGATGACAATCTTGCATGATAGATAATTAGTTTGTCTTATGCTTGTGTACTTATAGAGCCTAGACCCTGGTGAAATTCGATAATGTTTGCACCCACTTTTTGTATTACTTGTAGTTGGTTGTACTACATTGATCTATATTTTTATGATTAATTCTGATGAACATATCAATTTTGCTTATAATTTTGATACAAAAAGGGTGAATTACCAAATATGATGTACAGTGAATTTGGTATTTCTGGTTGTTAACTTTGAACATAACGAAATTCAGTTATTATTGAGACCTCATCTTTTTGCATTCCTATTGCCTTTGAGCTAGCCCGCTAAGAAAATATGGGTTCAACCATGTTCAGTGTAGCTTAGGTTTAGCTTGATGTGACAAAGTAGAGTCTTGAAACCGTGCTGTACTGCTAGCATTTTAACAAGACTGGTTATTGATTACTTTAGTTGGGTCACAGTACAAAAGGTAGCTCAATATGGCGACTTTGCCTATAGAGAGATGCAGAATTTGGTGGTTCTGCCTGCACAGCATTGATCTATCATATGTTTGTACTGGTCTCAATTGGCATTGCTTTCTTGCTGTGGTCTCTTTGTGAATTGGCACTAGAAGTCCATGTCGCCACCTAAGGAATGCAGCATCTTTGCTTTCCTTGATCAACATAGACTAAAGGTGTGCTTGGGAACATATTTGGAACTCTTAAATGTGCTTTTGAAATCAATAATGTGGTGTATGGCTATAATAGTCGAAGTGCTTTTTGGAGTGAAAAAAGGCATTTGGAATGACTTATAGAAAAGCGCTAACTTTAGGTGCCTTCTGAATCTGGTACTTTTCTAGAAAATGCTCAAACACATTTCTCCGAAGTCAGCCTGCACACTTTTTGCCTTTGACACCATCTCTATTTTTTCATACCATTGCTCAAGGTTGTGGTGACTAATTGAATGTCTTGCTCTTATTTTGCCGTTAGTAAAGAGATCGTAATCTTCTTACAATTCCTTGTCCCACACTACCATTAAACTGCATTTTCTAAGCTATTACTGATAGCTATCTGTTGTGACTGCTGTGGTGCTTGTACATTGTTGCCAAACTGCTTGAGAGTTGTTCTTGTGGGTGGTTCATTCATGTTGATAGTAGGCAATTCTTTGATTTTGATAAATATATCTTGCTAAAGTGGAAAATAGCTTTCTTGCTATTGGTTTGTGGAGTTTGCTTAAACTTTTCTCTGTACCTATAACTGATAGCTTGCTCTTTCCCTAAGTGCTAAAATTCCTCACCATGCCTTTTGCAACCTCACCTAGTTCCATCTTTACTGTCTATTGTCCTACTGCCTTGGCCTTCCTAATAATATCCTTAGTATTGCTAATGTTTGCTTGAATTGCATGACTACTTCCATACCTTGCCGGTGCTGCTATCTTTAGAATGTTTGATTGTTAGGACCTGAGCATTTTTCATTTTTCATGCTCACCACCCAAGGATATAGATTTAACAACTACCACATGAGCAAACATGCTTAGAAGATTACTGATACCTTTTCTATTGGAAGGTTCAGTATTATCTAAGTTCTTTCCCACTGATGTGGATGAAAGGGGATAATTAGGGTCTTTAGTTATGCTAAGATAGTTATCTTTACTGCTTCGAGGGTCATTTGACCCATGAATGCTTTTTTGTTCCCCTAGTAGAAAAAAAGATTTTTTCTTTCATTGTTGCATATTTATTTTTTTCTCAATAAAGGTTTAATATCTTATAGTTTTAGCCTTCAGAATTGTTTTAGATTAAAAGAAAGTTCCCATCCTTCTAGTCATCTAAAGAAATTCTAGTTGATTGTCATGCTGATATATATAATTGCACATCTGCTTTATTTATTGTGCTTGCTTCTGTGTAGAGTATTAAATGTAATGCTCTTTCAAATTATATATTCCCGTTTGTGTACTGTGCTGAATAACTTGCACTAAATTTTGGCCTGTAATGAATGAATTATATATATAATTTTTTTTCCCTGCTAAAAAGTGATTTATGTCTGATTATTACTAAGGCTTGATCAATTTACTTGGACAGTCATACCAAAAGGCGTTGAGTGCGGACCCTTCTTACAAACCAGCTGCAGAGTGCCTAGCAATTGTTCTAACAGATCTTGGAACCAGCTTAAAGCTAGCTGGCAACACTCAAGAGGGAATTCAGAAGTATTATGAAGCCTTAAGAATAGATCCTCATTATGCTGTAATTTCATGTTTTCTCTTATCTCGAGTCTTCTTTTGTTGATATATTTTTTCGCTTTTGTGGGTATACTTCTTTTTTTAATTTTTTAACTTAAAATTTAAATGTGCAGCCAGCATATTACAACCTTGGTGTTGTCTACTCTGAAATGATGCAATATGATACGGCACTTAGTTGCTATGAGAAGGCTGCTTTGGAGAGGCCTCTGTATGCTGAAGCATACTGCAATATGGGTGTCATCTATAAAAATCGTGGTGACTTGGAGTCAGCCATTGCTTGTTATGAGAGGTATTCAGCTAAATTGTTTACAATTTTGTCTCTGTGCCTTGATTGTGCTTTGTACCCCTTGCTAAGGCTATGTGTTCTAAATGCTGCTGTCTCAGGTGTCTTGCCGTGTCACCAAATTTTGAGATTGCAAAGAACAATATGGCAATAGCCTTGACAGATTTAGGAACAAAGGTGGTTTCTTGTGGCCAGAGATCTTCTTGCAGTCATAAATGAAATACAGTATTCTATCTTTATGTCAGAATTTTGAAATTTCCGTTTTTAAGTTTTAGCTGACCAAGTATCCAAGGTTTTCATGAAATTGACATGAGCTTGAGCTTGTAGTTTTATCAAAAGATGAAATTAATACTAGATGTTTACGATGGAGTTAAGGTGCAGAACTGCTTGAAAATCTTTGCTCAATTGTATTAATCAGGGATTTATCTACTTAAAGAGATCTAAAATTAACAGGACGCTATAGATTCCAACTTCTTAATCTAACATAGTATTATAGAAATGATTTTTTCCAGATATGCTGGGAACGTAAAATGAACTTTTGGTAAAATTTCCAACCTTTACTTTGTTCAGGACAGTTTCAATCATTTTCATCCTCATATTTTTCTGGATAAACATTATTATACTGTTTAGTTTTCAGTTTTGGTTTATAATGTCAAATTATAGATTCCAGTTATTGGTGTTGATATTGTTAACTTTTATGTTATTTCTTTTTTAAAGTTATTCTTCTAGTTTCTTCTTTCTACATGTTTTCTTCTATGAAAAGTATACTGACTGCTTTCTTGTCTGTCAACTCAATCGCATTGTTCTCATGCCTATCATGATTAGCTTTCAATCTTCTCCTTGAATTTGGGCTCACTGGTTTGCTTTATTCAGGTTAAATTAGAGGGTGACATCAATCAAGGTGTGGCGTATTACAAGAAGGCTTTGTATTATAATTGGCACTATGCTGATGCTATGTATAATCTTGGGGTTGCTTATGGCGAAATGCTTAAATTTGACATGGTAGGGACATGTTTGTGCATGCATGTGCATTTGTTTATGTTATATTTGGGATAATGGTGAACAAATTTTTCCCTTTTGTCATATATGTAATATGGATTGTACTTTTTTCTTTCTTAATGGTTTTGTCAGTTAGAATCTAATAACCAAATTGTACAGGCAATTGTATTCTACGAGCTTGCTTTTCATTTCAATCCCCATTGTGCTGAAGCATGCAACAATTTGGGAGTGATATACAAAGATCGAGACAATCTTGATAAAGCTGTAGAGTGTTATCAGGCAATTTTCACTGCTTGTGTGGCATTTTAGTTTTATTAGTCAGATGCTTAGGGTTTATTGTTTTGGTTCTCATTATCATTATCATCATTTTCATTTGGCAGATGGCTTTATCAATTAAACCAAACTTCTCCCAGTCTCTGAACAACCTTGGTGTTGTCTACACTGTCCAGGTTTGCTTTTGAATAGTTTTTGGTTTTAGATATATGAAGATGGCATATGTGGTGAAAATTGCTGATTATCTATTGACCATTGGCAGGGTAAAATGGATGCTGCGGCAAGCATGATTGAAAAAGCTATTGTTGCTAATCCAACATATGCTGAAGCATATAATAACTTAGGTCTCTCTCTCTAGCTTTGTTTTGTGTCAATCTTACTATCTATGGCTAAATTGTCAAAATAATCCTGCAACTCAGACCTGAAGATGCAATTCATACAACTTTGAACTTGATTAACAAAAGTTTTAATAACAGTTGAAGAATCAGTTTCCACAGTTAGGCTTTTTGCTTCTCTTTGGTTCTCAGTGTCAATGGAAAATTTAAGACACCTTGTTAGTTTTTTCTATTGTAGCTGGGAATGTTTTGAGTTATTTTTGTGGATTGTTCGGGCTGAAGGGTCTTTGTTTTTGTCATAAGTATACAGATAGTTACACAAATATAGTTTTTAATATCGTAATCAGGATTTTTGTGTTTTCTCTCTCTTCTTTTTTGTGAGCATAAATTTCATACTTTGTATATAAAAAAGCACTTTCAGCAAGAGGAGATTTTTGAAGAAAGCCACAAGTAAAAGAAACAGTGATATGCATAAGTAGATTTTTGCTTTTGGGAGAGGAAAGAAAGCCAAGACCGTATGGAAAGTGTGGTGTTAATTCTTCTTTGGTTGATTTGACAATAAAGAAATGACCGTAGTTTTGAAGGGACAATGAAGAACTCAATATCTTATGGAACAACACTTGGTTTCTATCATCTTTATGGGCCTTAGTGTCTGTAGAATTTCAAGATTCTTCTTTCTTCTTTATTCAGCTTAATCGGGAAAGGGTTGTAATATAATTATTTTCATGGGCTGTTTTAGTAGTAAGGATTAGTAACATGTTTATGAGGGTTATTTAGATGTAGATTCACACATATAAGGATGTACAACTTTTTTCTTTTCAAGGGCTTTTTGTTATTTATGGACACATGGTCTACTTATGTAGTTCTTCTTTATTAATACAACTTTCAGTTGTTTCCTGTCCCAAAAAAAAAAAGAAGAAAAAATAAAAAACTACAGATTGTCCAGAATAGAGTAATTATTATGGTTTAGACTCCTTGTTGCTTTCTATTTGCTCTTAACTTTACATTTTCAAGTTGTCTTGGAGGACATAATGCTTGTTTTCATCTGTATCTGATGTTCCGTGAGTAAATGTGTTCTTTATTATCTTCATTTGTAGGGGTTCTCTATAGAGATGCTGGCAACATCTCTCTGGCTATCGAAGCTTATGAGCAATGTCTCAAGATAGACCCTGATTCTCGTAATGCAGGCCAGGTACCATAACTTCTAGGTCTTTCATGTGAAGTTTTAATGCTTGTAAAGTTCTGTTCCTTGTGATGGTTGCATGCCTTCAACAACACTGTTTTAAATGTGGCATTTGAAGTGTTATGTTGAAGGTTTAGCATGATTACCTTGAGGCATACTTGTTAATCATTTGACATGCAGATTGTGTGTAATGTGCAATTTGAATTGGTTATTTGATTTTTTACTATATTTAGATATTAACTGACCTCTCGTGAGGTTTCAAAAAACATCTACTTGACGCTTAAACTATGAGAAATCTTCAGTAACTCCCTTAGATTTGGCAAAATCATCACCTATCTCCTTTTGACCATGAAATTCAAAGGTTTAAATTAACATGGTCAGGGGAGGTAAGTGATGATTTTATGGAATGTGTGGGGAGGTAGATTGGTTTCTAATACTTGTGGGGTTTTGCTGATATTTCCTTAAACCTGAGTGGAGGTTAGAGATAAGAGGCCTATATACATATATAGTGATGATTTTATGGAATGTGAGGGGAGGTAGCATTGATTTCTAATATTTGTGGGGTTTTGCGGATATTTCCTTAAACCTGAGTGGAAGTTAGAGATAATAGGCTTCTGAAATCCTGATATCCTAATTTTAGCTTAAATCCAGATGGCGAAGGCTGGCCATGAGTGGAGGTTCGAGATAAGAGGCCTATATACATATAAGGCAACAGACAAGATAATTTGAAAACAAAAACCATGTGTCAGGTGCATTAAATGAGGTGAGAGAATTTTCCCTTAAATATCACATTTTCTATATTGGAAAAGCTTTTCTTATACTCATCTTTGTTAGCTTCTTCAAAAACTTTTTTTATTCCTCTCGGGCCATAAAACCCAAAATACAGCAAGCACAACAATTCCACAGAAACTTATCCTTTTCTCTCTCACCGAAAGCACGATA